TATTGTTCTCATGACAAAAGTTAACGCTGATGTAATTAACGTGGCTCTTATGGCCATCTAAAATTAATAAAACAGGATGTGCAGGGGGGATAGAACTAACAAAATGTTTAATGTATTTTGAAATAGGCTCTCCTGCATATACCCCGTCTCAGTAAATCCCATGACAGAGCCAGCAGAAGCGCCACGTAGACGGCCTGGAATTGTTTGTTTTCCCTTGAAGATGAAGAGTGGTGGGATGTATGTTCCAGCAGCTGAAATAGTTGGGCATAAGGAAATATGTTCATAAGAGCTGCCATATAAAACCCGATGGACTTGACGTGTGCTCTTTTTCGCTAAGACCTTTTGAAGTCTGGGTTCAATAACAAAACCTGTTTCGTCCTAAGGAGAAAAAAAAAATTAAAGAAAAAAAAAAAAGAAAAAAGAAAAAAAAAAAAAAAAAAAAAAAAATGTTCCAAATTCGGTCGGCAGTAAGCGAATATTCGTAGATGATTTTTTGAAGTTTGTCAAAATGGTCTTTGACGATATTAGGATTTGCTTTTTGGGCGCATGCTTCATTCAGGGCTTGTGGGATGCAAAATGAAAGCTCAGGGTAGTCGTTCATGAAGCGCTTCCACCACTTTTGCCCTGGCCCATTCTCACCAAAAGGATAAGGTCGCCTGTTTCTACGAACGATATCTATAACGCACTGGTTTACACCAGATTTAGTTAACCCAAAGTCAAGTCTCTGCATGGCCAAGCAGTAACTGACAAGCTGTTTCTTCTCATGATCGGTTAGAATTTTAGCATGGCCCGGACAAGTGAGGGGACCATCATTTTTTATCGCACACCTAAGGGTGGCTTCCAAAAGACCATAATCCTGCGCGATACTTCTGATGCTTGGAGTTTTAGAATCATTTTTAGGGGTTTTAATTGCCTTAAAGGCATTGTTAATTGCATTGTGTCAGGTAGTATAATCACTGTATTTTGTCATGGTTTTAAAATTGAAAATTTAATAAACTATTTAACTTGTATTACAGTATGGGGTTTAATTGTTTATTGCTATCAGGTTGTTTTTTTTTTATTTACAAAGTTTAATACACA